TGCCAGCCTGATTTTCTTTTAGTTTTTAGCTCATTTATTTTTCTGCCTAGGTGCCCAAGGAATTCATTCTTTATTCTTTAAATCCAAAATCTTCAGCAGAATATATATCCATATTACTATTATTATATGAAATTTTCCTATGAGACTTATGTATTTTTTTTCTATCAGCAAATTTAGTTTTTTATTTGATGGAAAGTTTCTTTTACTATATCTTTGAGTGGTTTTTCCATTCTATTTTTCTATACTTCTGAGATATTAACTATATGCTGCTTTGTTTTAATCTGTATTCTATGTCTATTAGATTCTTTCTGATTCCAGAAATCAGTTTGCCTTTTTAAAATCAGCATTTATATGATTATCTGAAACTTTTCTGTAAATATTAATAGCACAATTTTAAAATTTCTATTATGAAATAGTCATACATACAAAAAAGGAGTATACATATAAGGTATTAAAGAATAATAACTAAATGAACACCCATATCCCTACAATCCAACCTAAGGACAAGAAGAGTATAAATATACATTAAAATCCCTATATGCCTCTACCAGATTCCATGCTCCTCCCTTCACTCCCAAAGTTTACTAAATTTTAGTTTTGTGTTTACCATCAGAGTTTTCCAAAATAATTGAGTATCCCAAATGATACAGTTTATTTTTGAATACATTTGGCAATTTTTATAAAAGGACTCATACTACATATTCTTTAGCAACCTGTTTTTTTCCCCTTTAAAATTCTGCTTGTGAAATTTATGGTAACACATATGCCTTTAGTTTTTTCTCACTGTTGAATAGTATTCACAGTATGGATATACTACCATTTACATATTCATTTCCCTGTCAATAGTTACTTCTAGTTTATTTTAAAATTTTTGTTACTATCAATATTATTATATATATTTTAGTACATGTTATCTAGTGCACCTGTTCAAATATTTCTCTAGAATGTATATTTCTAAGGGGCAATATCTCTAAATTGTAAGTGCATCTTCACTTTTACTGAATAATGCCAAATGGTTTTCTAATATAGTTACAAATAATTTAAGTGTAATAAGTTCTCTACCTGAATAATGGTTATGTATATTATTCTATAATTATGTTTCTTTGCATCTTGATTTGTTTCCTTGAGTTTGAAATCTTACTTTTAATCTCAGTTCCATTGCTTTATCATGTATTCTTTAAATCCTTATTTTATTTAATCTATATTATCTTTTATTTATATATTCCTATACACTTTCTTATTTGATTTGATCCTTGAAATAACATTGAAATATAGGTACTATTATTATTCCCATCTTATAGACAAAAAAAAAATGGACTTCTAAGAAATTATGTGTCTTATCCACAGTCTCACAGCTAACAAATGAAGGATCCAAAATTAACACCCAGGTCTTTCACCTCCAAAATTCTTGCTCTTTCCATTGATTTAAGACAGACTGTAATTAAGTGCTCTGTTGTATAGTACAACCCCTAAGACTAATTAAACTTCCAAATTGAAGAGAAATAAATAAACAATACATTGATAACACATGTAACTTAATGAAGACACTCCAAAATGAGATAAGAACAGCAACATACCAGGTGAAATTACTGCCCTGATCCATCTTGGAACTTACTCTGGTCCCTGAAAGGGTACATTGTCCTGCCACTACCTCCTAGAGCGTGTGTGTGTGTGTGTGTGTGTGTGTGTGTGTGTGCATGCATGTGTTTAAGCAGCTGATACAAGTGACAGTACTATTGACATAGACTTTGGAAATCCAATTTAATAACAAGAAAGCAGGATTAAAACACAAATATGATGGGGGGTTGCTTGTACCTCGATGGAATCTGGGGAGAAGAGCCTTTATTTGGAATTTCCCTCGATCTTGAACTGTTAGAGAAGGACCAGGTCATACAAGGAAAACCTGGGCAGCAATGAATGTGTAGGTGGTGGGAGCCTTCCTCTGTGTTAGGGGCCCTTTCCAGCACTTGGAGGGACATAGTGAAGTCCATTTATTCCTGGAAAGGATATGTCTACTGAATTGCAGTTTTGGAAGAATGGCACATGAAGTGATAGGCTAGCAAAAAGTTGTCTATACTAAGACTGTTATAAACCAAAGATGAAGGGAGGCAGCAAGATTGACTCAAACAATAGAGTCTTACATCTGAAATTAGCTGCTCTTGTGTATTAGTCAGCATTATGGCTGGTTGAGTTTATGTCCTATTTTCAAATATCTCTGTCCAGGAATTGTAATCAAACCTAGGATTATCAAAGAACTATTTTCATTGTTTCCTAAAGATTGATCTGTGGGAGATAATTATATATCCAATGAAAAAAACTGCAAAGTATTCAAATAAGTTTGTATGTCTTTGATTTAACCAAGCCACCTGTTTTCTTTTCTTCAAAATTCCTCAAAGCCATTAATATGCTAATGGACTCTATGAATTTGCAAAAGAGATCTGTATAATAAAGAAATTCCATACTATTTGAATCATGAAGCCCTTATATTCAAGGACTCTTGTAACATACTTTGAGAAAATTTGCTTACTTTTAATCATAAAATGTTAGGACTACAAGGAGCCTTAAAACAACTCCAGTTTTAAATCCTAATTTTGCAAGGAGGGAAACAAAAATTTGGAGAGTTTAAGTGACTTCCCCCAGGTCACATAGCTCTTTGGTGATAAAAGTAGAACTAGAATCCATATCTTCAGATTCCTGATCTAGCGCTCTTCAAAACTGATCAAAGACAGATGAAATCATCAGATGCAATGACCTACTGGCAGGCCTATTTACTGACTTCCAGGCATGTGGTATGACCACTTTGACCAATAATTTCACTTCTTACAGCTCATAAAATCCTCTCTTTGAAACATGGTATCTCTGATCTCTCTGTAGGTTCAAGAGTCTAGAATATTCTTTATCAATTCTGTATATAAGGCCTGCCTCACACTCGCCTAAATCTCCCATCATATTGATCCCTCCAGCAAAACTTATAGAGAAAATCTTCCCTTCCAACATCCTGTTCCATATTGATGAGTCTTGTGGAAAGAGACAGGTTTATATACAGAGGTTATCTGGACAACCCCAGACCTCATAAACAGAATTTAGAAAGGGCTTGAAATTTAGAAAGTGAACCACCTTTCTGGTAGGCAGTGGGGCAGTGTGTATCAGAAACACTTAACAGTTCCATACCCTTTAACTTCGAAGGAAACAGTGGGAAGTATGTCCCCAGATTTAATTGCATTAATATACTATTGTAGGCCAGGTACAGTGGCTCTTACTATGTTTTATTTTGTTTTATGCTCGAACCTATAAAGTAGTCCCTGCTATTATTATTTTCATTATATAAAATTTAAATTCCAGATTTGAAAATAATAGGAGCTGGATAGCTGATGTAGGCAGAAAGGAAAAGATGGAAATGAGACATATCTGAAAGGTAGAAATAAGAAAATATGACTAATTATCTGTGGGATCTAAGTATTCTGCCAAGACATTGAAGATTGTAGTATTAGTGACTAAAACAGAATCAGGAAAAACAATATTTTACAAAGATTTTAAAGGCAAAATTAGAAGGATGATTAGTTGTCAAGAAGCTAGGTTTGGCTGTTTACTTGTTGATACTGAGGAGATAACAAAGCATGTTAGTGGAAATGCCCAGGTGACTGTTGAAATTCAGGTGAGAGAGCAAACCTAAAGGTAGAGTTTGGACAGGCATTCACAATGGAGCCAGTTAGAGCTGTGCAAATGGATTGACTGTCCTGGGAAGAGAATGTGGAAAGAAAAGCAAGACACCAAAATCTTGAACCTTTAGGCCTTGTCTCCATAAAAGGCCAATGGATAGACTCCTATTAGTGGAACAATGACAGAATGGAATTCGAAGATCCTTGTGCATGGATAAATGTTGACAATGGATGACATGTTAAAATAGTTTTCTTTATTATTCTTCCTTAGATCAAAGATTACTTGCCTTTAAAAAATAAAGTTAACTAAAAAAGAGATTTAGTAAGCTTATAGGGCATGCATCGGTAAGCAGCACCCTAGAAGATAGGATTAAATGGAAAAGATACCCTAGCCATTTGAAGAAGTGATCAGAATCTGGATGGTGCAACTGAATCATGACAAATGCATAGTCTATTGCTTTTAGGATGAGGAAAGGAATCAAGTTACAAAAATACAAATGGAAGGACTCTGACCAGATATGAATGCCATGAACAAAGATCTAAAAGTCTCAGGGAGGAACAATTTCAAAAGGAATATGCTATATATATATTTATGCTGGTGCAAATGTTTATTAGGAAATTTTTTTTCAGACAATACAGAGACATAAATGTAATAATTCAATCACCTTGTCATATTGGCATTAAGAAGAAATACACTAGAAATAGAATAAATGTATTTGTCTTCAGAGTCCCTCTTTCTAGAGTTCAAAGTTATTAAATAGAATATACAGGACATCAAGGAAAATGAATACATGACTATAAAAATGTACTACTAAAGAAAGGTTAGTAAACATGGTATTATTGATTTTTGAAATCGAAAGACCAGGAATAACTTAATAAGGATCAAGATCATTAATTTGTGGGAGATTATTGTACAGAGTTGTTTGGCATCGGTGTTGCAGATAGAACAATGGGAAATAAGCTGAAGTTATTAATAAAATAAACAAGCCCCCTAAATGTAATTGTGCATGTATATACACACACCACATACACTCACATAAATACACATGTATGTATGTGTTTGTGTAAAGAGTCTGGAAAAGTATACATCAAAATATTAATAGTTATTATTCCTATGTAGTAAGATTATAAGTGTTTTGTTTATCTGTGTATTACTCTAAATTACCTATGTTAAACATGCACTTTTTGTGCAGTAAGAAAAATGTTATTTTTCTTTAGAATTGTTTCTAGAAACAAATGTTATTTCTTTCTCCTTCCTATCACATTCTCAATCCTATAAAACTGATTTTTCATAAGATTCTGAGTAACACCAGTACTGGTACACCATTTTATCTTTTTCAGGTGCTAGTGAAAAAGAACCACCTTTCAGACAAGATCATTGTTTTGCCAGGAAAAATTGAAGAAATCTCACTTCCTGAGGCTGTAGATGTGATCATTTCTGAACCAATGGGATACATGCTGTTCAATGAAAGGATGCTGGAGAGTTACCTTCATTCCAAAAAATGGCTAAAATCAAATGGTAAGTTGGCCATTTCCTGGTTTAAAAAACAGGCTAACTTCTCTGTAAAAGTTTGCCACCTTCTTTCCCTAACGTTTGATTCTATACAGAGAAGAGAGAGCATTTCTATTATATGCAATTATTTGATTTTCTTATCTTATTCTTCCATAACAAATTAGCTAGTTTCCAACCATAAGAACACCATGTGTGCTGCATATTATTCAATATGGTAGAGAAGGCCAGGTCAAGTTATACGTTTTTGTCCTAGTTCTATCACTTTCTTCCTTAACAAACTTGGCTAACATTTGACCTCTGGCTTTGCTTTCTTCATCCCTCCGATGACATATTATTATACATAATCTCTAAAGCCGATTCAAATGTTGGCTTTCTAGAATGTGAGAAACTCTCTGGGGTCTGCTTGTTCTTTCTGACATATTCTTTCCTACTGTATTTCTCTCCTTCCCTGTGATCACTATACATAGTCGAGATAATATCAAATCTAATATGCTTTTTGTACTTACCAAGTAACTGCATCTGCTAAGCAATTTGAATAAATTATTCTGAGAAATCCTTACAAAGCCTGAATGATGAAGGCTTTCAGTTTATGTGGGGGGTGAGTACTGAGGTTCTCAGTAATTTTGCAACCTTCCCTGGGGGACATTTGGCAATGTCTGGAGACATTTTTGTTGTCACAGTAGCAGTGCGGGGTGGGGTACTGGTATCTAGTGGATAGAAGGCAAGGATGCTACAAAACATCCTTCAGTGCGCAGGACAGTCCCCTATATCAAAGAATTGTCTAGTCCTAAATGTCAATAGTGCAAGATTGAGACCTGGGTTAGTGAGAGACATTATTATGATCCCCATTTTACAAAGAGAAAACTGAGACTCAATGATGGAAAGTAACTTGGCAAGAGCATACATCTACTGAGTGACAGCAGAGATTTGAACCTATTCTCTGTGACACTGAAGCTTACACTCAGAACTCCTGCACACACACCAACTTTCCATTCTTCACTGCAGAGAGGAGACACATTCCAACAGCACATTGTTAATTAACACATTGAAGGTAGCTGGCCAATTTTTAAAGTTGCATCTCTCATGCGAATTTCAGCTCCTTACCCCAATTTTATTTACCTTAAATTGCCAACCTTGTGGCTCCGTAGCTGATATCCAATGAAGAGTGCACTTCATACACACCAACATGCATATACGTGAAGTTTAAAGTTTGTCTATAACTTCTTACATGCTTCAACATTCAGAAATAGGCACTAAAAAATTCATGTAAAAATAAGTAAGTAAGCTCAGGGAAAGTATACCTAATGTCAAGAACTTCATTAGCAATCTTGCTATAAAACAGCTCAGGATGATCTTGGAAACCTTGTGTGCATGTGATAAAATTAAACTGTGGGGGATGAAAGTGAAGGAACAAAGTGGCTTGGATAACCTCCTCAATATCCGCAAGAAGAATTGTTACGGGTTTTTCCCCCTGATTTTGTTCAGATGGTTGGATGCTTTTGTATGATGATGAACATGCATCTATTGAGCTTCTCCTAATCTGTATATTTAGACTTAATATCTGGGTATCTTTTCCCCCCAGATATTTGAAATGGGTATGACATTTTATACCAGGCTATGTATCTTTAATTTGGCAAGTAGAAATGAATACTGATTTTATCAGCTTTCTAGCCTATGTTCCTGAGGGAAGGGTGATTGATTTTTTTCCTAATTATTTTTATTTTCTATCAAAATAAGACATAATTTAAAACATCAAATAATAATAAAAAGGCTTATAGTGAAAAATAGCAGCCTTCTGCCACACCTCTTCCTATTGTCAGGCAACCACTTTCAACTCTATTTGTTGTTTCTTCTATTATTTACCTACATATTTCTATATAAAATTATTATATTGCTATTCTTATCACTCTCTGCTTGAGAATCTAGTTGTCCTACATAGAAGCTCCTTCCCTTCTTGATGTACCCTCCCCACCCCCTTCCTCCCAATTAATTTATGCAGGTCCTCAATCCCTTATCCAAACCCTTGGGGCCAGATGCATTTCAAAACTCAGAATCTGGAGGACTTTAGAAAGTTAATACGATCATACACCATGTATTACTTAAGGCCCCCAGTGGGATATGAAGCATCACTCCATAATGAAACACATTATATTTCTGCAACAAAACATATGAATATTGTTACCAAGTAGAATAAATGAAGAATACAAATAGACTCATGTCAGTTCAGGTCAGGTTTTGCCATCAAATGATGCTGCTACAAACTTACAAAAATCTTTCACTTTTCAGAGATTTTTGGATTTCAGAACATAGGATAAGGGAATGTGGACCCAGATCATTATTTGGTTAAATAGTAATCAATGTTTATATTATTATGATGTAATGTGATGTGATTATTGTTCAGTGCTGAGTCAGATGGTATAGTAGATGGTATATGATTATGTATATTTTATCACGTAATCGTTGTTTTTCCTGGAGTTAATTGCCTTGGTTTTTTTTTTTTTTTCATTAGGTTTCATAGACTCATGGCTAAATGTTTCCATGCTCCAGCAGATCTGACAGATGCCTATCAATATTTATTCCTCTGTGCCTCCCTTCTATTCTGTGGTCCTCTGGCCTCCTCTAGCAAACATGAGCTGGCTGCGCTCCAGCCCTATTTTATGGCTGCCATAATCTGACTTCCATCATCATTTTTTTTGTTTTCCTCCTTCTTGATTTATAGCATCATTTCAGCAAACAATATTCTCTAATAGCTTCTGGAGAAAGGGTGCTTGAGTAGTTACTTTTTATTGAGTTCTTGTATTATTACTTGACTGGTTAAGAATTTAACTTAAAACAATTTTACTCAATATTTTTTAAGTTTTTTTTTTTTTTTTTTTTTTTTGGTGGCAGTAGGGTTTTTGGTTTCCAGTCATGCTATTGAGAAGTCCAATGCCATTTCAACTCCTGATCCTTTAGAGTAACATAGCTTTTTCCTCCAGATACTTTGAGTATCTTCTCTCCAGTGTTCTTAGTGTGAATCTTTTTAAAATTTTTGTGCTGGAAATTTGGTGAACATGTTTTCTTTGGCTCTTGAAATTTTTCTTGCATTTTACCTTTGATGATTTCCTCTTCTCCATTTCATCTCATATCCTTGGAATTCCTATTAGGTTGAGTCTCACAACATCATCCTCTGAAGCTTCTTAAGTTTACACAAGCAGTGATCTATATTACTTTTCTAAGGTTGTTTAATATCCTTCGATTAGAATAGGAGACAGGACTCAGACAGGATGGGGGGGGTGTGTTGCAGATTGAGTGCAGGTGTTAAAGTAAACAACCCTCAGGCAGTAGCTAAATAGAGGAGCTGATAACCACAGGCAAGAACCAGCTTCAGGCCAGCCGCAGTGGCTCACGCCTGTCCTAGCACTCTGGGAGGCCGAGGTGGGTGGATCATTTGAGCTCAGGAGTTCAAGACCAGCCTGAGCAAGAGTGAGACCCCCCCCATCTCTACTAAAAATAAGAAATTAACTGGACAACTAAAAATATATATATATTAAAAAAATTAGCCAAGCAGGGTGGCACATGCCTGTTGTCCCAGATACTTGGGAGGCTGAGGCAGGAGGATCGCTTGAGCCCAGGAGTTTGAGGTTGCTGTGAGCTAGGCTGACGCCATAGCACTCTAGCCCAGGCAACAGAGTGAGACTCTGTCTCAAAAAAAAAAAAAAAAAAAACCAGCTTGTCAGCTATCTCTATCACCTTACATGAACTTTAGCTAATTATAATATCATTTACATTGTGGTTTTAAAATTTCTCTGCCCTTGAAATTATCATGACAGTTCTGAGACAACCATATAAAGTATGAAAATGGGAGGGAACCCAATTCTAGGAATTACTACCCAAATTCTTAGTAAAAGCCAACCCCTGAGCGTTGAATATTCCTCCGCTCAATTAGTAAGACTACAAAAGATCTAAAACCACTTCCCCTGGGGCAGCTGCTCTTTTTGAGCCTGCCTGCTCTCTTTTGATAGAATGTACTTTTGCTTTCAATAAAAAAAAAAAACTGCTTGCTTGGCTTACATGGTGCATCTTGAAATTCTTTTCTCCCAATGATTACCAAGAACCTGGAAAAACCTCCACTTGGAAGTTTTCTTTCTTGAAATTGAAAAATCACCAAGCAATCATTATTGTTTTGATACCAACATCTGAGATTTAGATGAGACATATGAATGATGTTACAATCATGCTTTGCTTCTGACCGCCTTTGAAAATATTCTAAATAAAATGATCTGTTTTAGCAGACATGGGACCACATAGTTTAAGTATGAGATACTGACTATCAGATGAGATTCAACTCCCTGGATTTTGCTTTTCCACTTATTAGCTCTTTGATCTTGGTCAAGTAACTTAAATTTCTCTGTTCCTTAGTTTTGTTGTTTATAAAACATTTATAATAATAGAACCCACTTTATGTTTTTATGAGAATTAAATAAATTAATGCATGCAAATCCCATTAAAAAGTACATGGCAGGGATAACATAATTGAGAAATTTTAGCTATTAGCATTGTTATTCTAATGACAGCATCTCTGGTTTCTTGGATTACCCTCATTTCTGAAAGAGAGTTACTAGTTCATCTTTTTTATACGTAATGTAATAAATGGTTATAAAAAGATTCTCCCTAAAATTATGAGAATAATAAGGATGATCATCAAGTCTATCTGCTCAAAAAGGCCCAGCTTTCAGGTATGCCAGTCTAGGTGCTCATTTGCTCACTAAATAATCTGCCTTTCCTGTGATGACTGTAGGTGCCAGGAACAAGGCACAGGTGTGTACTTCCCAGCATGAAGCGTGGTAGACATCCATATAAGCATGAAGCCCAATAGCACTTAAGATAGGTAGTCGATCTGATGATACATGGACAAAGCCTGAGAATGAAAACAATGTGATGGGACTATGGGATTTTGATTATTTTCAAAGCTACGTTGTTTTTATAATAAATAAGAAAACGAATGAATGAACGAACCCAGAATTCCAACCACAGAACACACAAAAAGGAAAAAAGCCAGCAGCCGAGAAGACAACCATGCCTGGTTAAATGGCTCATCTAAGATTCTACAAACTTTTATCACTGCATAGCTTTGTAACTTGGTTTGGTATTCTTTTCTATAGACCGTCCAATCTTCTGCCTAATTATTCTTCCTTGTTTTGAGACAAAATTATATTTGATCCTGTTGCATAATAACTGAAATGAAAAACAACGGAATTGGTCTCAGGTGGCAGGTGAGTCTAGCCTTCAGTCAGAAAGCAATAGAAGTGAACTTCCTGCATCTGTTGTCTTTCGCTTGGTAGGAATGATGTTCCCGACATTCAGCGACCTTCATCTGGCTCCCTTTTCTGATGAACAGCTCTACGTGGAACACTTCTCCAGAGCCAACTTTTGGTAATGTTCTCTCACCTTTTCCTTCCTTTTTTTCAGAGTAAATGCGAGTTTCTAAAACTATTAATATTTTGGGCCAAATAATGTGGCGAGCCATCCTGTACACTGCAGGATGTTTGGCAGCATCCCTAGTGTCTGCATACTAGATGCCAGGAACACCTTCCCCCCCAAGTTGTGACAACCATGTCTCCAGACCTTGCCAAATGTCTCCCTGGGGGGGAATTTCACCCCCAGTTGAGAACTGCTACTCACAAATCAGAGACAGACAATCAGGGAGCTGCTTATGTAATGCCAAACGTCCAAAAGGTGACCCTGCTGCTAAAGTGACAACATCCTCCAGACTGCTGTTCCTCCCTATCTACTTTTTACCGTCCGCTCCTTTGACTCAGGGCTATGGCTTTGGTTAGAACCTGCCTTTGACAGAGGACATATCAATCAATGCAGCTCAATGTGTAATAAATGAGTCGATCAAATACTTTTGGAGTTTTACTTGGCTGTTGGCTTTTGGGCTTATTTCACCCTTCTGAGACTCAGTTTCTTCATTTGTAAAATGGGAACTAATACAAAACTTCTGCCAGATCTAAACCACCATTTCTTCTGTGATTCTTCTCTGAGAACTGGCTTTTATAAGGAGAAGGAGGGAAAGAGAATGATGATGTTAGTCCCCTGGGAGGAAGAAAGAGAACAGATATCATCCGTGTCAGAATGTTACATGTGCAGGAGGGAGCACAGGAGCGCGCTCCAGGAGGTTGAGGATGATGCTCAAACTTAAGGCTTGAGTTTTGGCTGAGGTATACACAACCTTCCAACACAGAGATGTGTGAAGTTGATTTCTGTGTTTTTCTGTTTGTAATCCTAGTGAAGGGGCAGCAAATAGCATGTGCTTTGGTTTCCTGGGTTACAAAGTTCTTTAAGGAGTGAGTCAAGGGCTAAGATTTTTCCTTCCCCTAATTTGTTCTTAAAAATCAGGCTCTTCTACCACAGCTTCATAGTGTCCTGTAGTTTTGCTTAGTCTGTAATTCTGAGATTCCAAGCCACAGGCTTATCAATGGGAGCAAACGGCTTCTTGGTGTATACGTGTGTCGGTGGGGCAAGTTGTGGGGAGAGTGCTTACGTTAATAATGATCATTGCTCTGTGAAGTTATGCTGACCCTGAATGTCTGTATTTTAAATGTGACTTCCTGAACCAATGGAGAGGCTGAAGAACTAGAAATTTCAGGCAGCAAAGTAGACCACACCAACAAACTGGAGGTTTGTTTTCCACGCAGTCTTTGTATGACCTCCCAACCATGCCATCTGCTGCCTTCTTACTACCTTGAGGATATTAATGATCACAGTAGTTTGGTTAGGATCCCCATCACTGTACCAACATGCTGCTACTTATTCCATCTACAAAGGAAAAACAAAAACAAAAACCCAACCTTCTCCAAAACCACTCTTGTCGAGGTCACCAGTGCCCATGACCTCCACATTGCAAATTCCAGTGATCAAGTCTCACTCCTCAACTTATTTAACTCACCAGCAGCATGTGAAACACTCTTTTGCCCCATAGTATTTTGATTGTTTTCCTGCTTTGCTGGTCACTTTCTCAACCAGCCCTCCCCTCGTTGTTACTCATTTCTGTGAGCTCCTGATGTTGGAGTACCCGAGGACGCAGTCTTTGAACCTCTTCTCCATGCACGGTTACTCCCTTGGTGGGCTCTCCTATTCTCATAGCTTCCAAGACCATCTATAGGCTAATGATTCCCCCCAAGTGTATCTCTCCAGCCCAGACACGTCCTCCAAGATCCATATTTTCATAGCCAGCTACCTCCTGGACATCTCCCTTTGCAGAGACTGACCATGTCCAAAATTCAACTCCTGAGCTCCCTGCTCCCACCCAAAACCTGCTCTACTCACAGTCTTTCTGTCTCAGTTGATGACAACGTTATCCTCCCAATCATTCAGGCCAAAAACCTTGAATCCCTCTCCTTCTATATCTGCAAACTTGAGAAATTCTATTCTATTGGTTCTACTTTCAAAATATATCCAGAATTTTACCAATTCTTACTGTTCCCTCTTTATCCCAACACCACCATCTCTCATCTGAATTATAGCAATAGCTTCCTAACCTCTCTGTTCTCAACAGAGCCAAAGCCTTACAGTGGCTTCTACCTAGTCTGACCCCTCGGTACCCTCTAACCTCATTTCTTACCACCATGTTCCTTTGGCTCCAGCCACACAGGCCTTCTAGCTGATCCTCAAACACATCTGACATGCTCCTACCTTAGGGCTTTCACATTTGCAGACCCTCTTACTTTGAATGTTTTCTCCTCACTATTCACATAGTTAATTCCTTCAACTCCTTAAAGTCTTTGTCAAAAGCCACCTTCTCAATGAGACCAACCTTGACTATCCTATTTTAAATTGCACCCACGCCACTCCCAACCCCTCTTTTTCTATTCTGTGTTTGTCCTTAGTGCTTATCACCTCCTAAAAGATATATAATTCCTTTCTTTATTGTTGTCGATTGTTTGGATCCCTCTTGATAGAATGTGAGCTCGTGCAGTTAAGAATTCTGTCGGTTTTTCACTGATGTATCCCAGGCATTCAGCCTGCCGTGTGGTAGGCTTGCAGTAAATATTTTTGAATGAATAAAAACCCCAGTAAGCACAAGCATGTACAGAAATAATTACTTTTAAGATTCTAGTTGACATATTTTAAATTTTTCTATTCTTTTTATTTATAAAACTAGAATCATACATATAGTTTGATTTTTTGACAATATTTTGTTGACATGTGTTCATATCTTTAAAATATTCCTTTGCTGAAGAATATTTCTCTTGTGGGTATCTCCTAATTTATTGACTCAAGCTCCAATGTTGAATATTAAATTATTTTAATCCTATTGATTCCATAAGAAACAACACTAAGATGTTTCAATATTCTATAAGAATATAGAATCTTATAGAATTCTATATTTTATAAGAATTTATAAATTTAGAATTTTACAAATTCTAAATTTTATAAGAAACAACACTGAAGTGAACATCCTTTCATAGAAATTTTGGTGTGCATTCTGATTATTTCCATGTGATAAATTGCTAAAAGCAGAATTACTGGACCAAAAGGTGTGAAAAAGGAACTTATAAAAAAATTATTCTTATATATTGCCAACTTGCCCTCTAGAAAAGTTTTTACCAATTAACACTTCCACCAGTGGTATATGGGAATGTCTGCTGAGTCTTGCCCATACGGGATCTGCTTTTTAAAATGCCAATTTGATTTGCAAAAAAAAAAAAAATGTCCAGTTTATTTTTAGCTATATTTCTTTGATGGCTGGTGCATTTGAATGGTTTTATCTTTAGTCAACAAACACAAAAATATTTTTAAAAATATATAGTTACCAAAATTCACAGCCGTCACTTGCCTTCTAATTCCTTTTCCTTTTTTCTGTATTAGATTACTGGCGTTGGGCCTTTTGTTGCTTTGATCCAGGGAACAGGTAGTGAAAGCTTGCATCATTTCTGTTAGGAGAGGCAAAGAACTGAAAATGCAGGCAGTGGGGTGGGGTGTAAAAAATGAGTTTCAGTGAGTTTTAAAGCAATGAGCTGAGGGATTAAGGAACAACTAACAGGCTAAATAAGGTCATGAGATATAATATATTATCTGTCCTCCCCTGACTTTCCTACCAACAACACTTTACACTGTTGACTTTCTCTTTACTTCTGAAGCCGAAACCTGGTTTTGCTCCTACCTTACTGACCCCACCCCTCAATCTCTTTTGCTGATTCTTCCTCATGACCCAAAGCTTTAAACACTGGAGTGATTCCAGGTTTTGTTCTCAGATGTCTTTGCCTTTCTGTCAACACTCATGTCCTTATTTGGTCTCATTCAGTCTCTCGGCTGTGAATACTGTTTTCATGCCCACACCTTGCACAGTTAGTGCTCCAGCCGAGACCTCGCCCCAGATCCACAGACTTCGATATCCATCTGGTTGTTCACAACTCCACTTGATGTCTGTTGGGCATCGCAACTTCAACATGTCCCAATGCACTCTGCCGCGCCACACCATCTGCCCCCACCCACCTTTGCAAAACAAAACAAACAAAAAACTAAACGAACAAAACAGCAACAATAAAAAAAGCCTGTGTATGCTACAGTCTCACAATGGCCTTCTAACTTATTTCTTCTTTTTAAACAACCAAAATGCTCTTGATGGAACATAATTCAAATCATATTCTTCTGCTGCTTAAAACTCTAGTGGTTTCCCACCTTCTGCATAGTAAAAGCTGAAGTCCTCACAATGGATGGGAGGACCCTACATGACCTGGTTGCTGCCCTGCTACCCCTCTGACTTTGTCTCCTACTACCTGCTCTTTTACTCCGTCTCTGCACTCTGGCTGCACTGGCCAGCCTTCCCCTCCAACGTACCAGGTATGCTCCCACCTTCCTGGCATTGCCACATTCCCATGTCACTTTCCCAGAAAAACCTTCTATTAATTAAAACTGTAATCCCTTCCCTCCTGGAAGCCCACACACACTTCTTGCTTCATTCTTCTCTATAGCACTGTTGCCATCTGCCATAGGATGTGGTTTTACTTATTTTATTTACTGTGTATCTCCCCCAGGAGACTGCAAGTTCCATAAGTGTGGCTACTTTGTTTACTGCTGAATCCCATCATCTAACCTAGTTAATACTTGCTGAATTCATTTTTGTTGACTAGCAGATAAATGCATTGATTTGTAAAAATTCTCTCTATATTAAGGATATTAAGACTTAATTGCATTTTCTTCAGAATTTCCAGCTTGCCTTGTAATTTTCTTTGTGATGGCTTTCACCACAAAAGAAAGTTTTTTTAATGTAGCTAGATCTACCAGTATTTTCTTTTAATGTTTCTTTCTTTCTACCCTGAATCTTGCATTAACTTCCTTCTACTTTTTATGTTTTCACTTTTTCCACTTAACATTTCTTAAAATTTGCATTTAGCTCTAAAATTCATCTTAATGTACAGTGTACAATA